TCAAAGTAATTTTTGGATTATTATTCCAAATAATGATTTCTTTGAAGAGATTAGAATTAACTAAATTATTTACGGCTCTTGCCACACTTGCTGATCGTTTCCAATGAAGTACTATGGCACTCAACTTATACTTTTGTATAAGATCGATTTCATGTTGTTTTGCTTGGAGTACCTCGAATTCACTGAAGCCAATATTGACTTCATCATCATCATAATTTGACTGAATTTGTTTAATAATTCCACGAGAAAGATACATTTGAAGGCAATATAAGAATGAAACGAAGAAAATGAATATAATTCGATATTTTCTGTTCATTATTAATTTGTATTAAGACACGAGTTCGCACAAAGAAAACGTTTATTTCAATAAAATCGACGCAAACAGTTTGATTCACATTACATCGATCTGAAATAAATAAAAATACAATGTAAATTGAGGGGTCCACGAAAAATTAAAATTATCATGGTTTACTTTAATGCTATGCAACTAAAGAATGATCTAATCCCTTTAGTCCTTTAAGTTTCTTTAATCCCTTTAGTCCTTTTAGTCCTTTAAGTTTTTTTTAGAGTGTAGGTGTGAAACAGGGTAAATAGTCACACCCACACCCTCACCCTCACACCCACCCACACTCACACCCTCAAGACTAAAGGGATGGAGGAACTAAAATAAAGCAGTAGTTTCTTTAGTTTAGTAGTATAAAATTAAACCATGATGGTTTTTATTTTTCGTGGACCTGTGTGTAAATTAGAAATAAACTTTAATTTATACAAAATTAATATTTAAAAAATTCAAGCATTATCAAGTTTAATAGATCGTTCAATGCATTTCAGCTATTTAGAAAAATAATTCTCGTGTAATATGCATAAATTCAACAGAAAAATGTTAAGTCTATTCTAATTTTGCGGAAAAAAAATCGAAAATCGAGACATATTTAACGGAAATTAATTGTTTTAACGGCATACGAAATGGCCTAAAATCATACAGCAGAGAAAAAATTGAATATCTACACTACAACTTTAACAACCGGAATCATTTATTAAGCATAGAAACATGTTTATACTCCAAATTCATACGGGCAAGATTAGTAACTCAGCGAAAATTGTCAAATTACACCTCATTCTGTAAGATTATTATAATCGATTGAAATCTTTCAAATCAACAATAATTCGATTTTTAATGAGAAAAATAACCTTGTAAATCAAATATAAAGTAAACCAAGTTTGTATGATTTCAATCAAAATTATGTTTGATTTACAAGGTTATTTTTCTTATTAAAAATCGAATTATTGTTGATTTGAAAGATTTCAGTCGATTAGAATCCTGATTTTGTCGCACAACAATTCGATCATATACTTACAAAATGAGTTGTAATATGACAACTTTTTACTGAGAAGAACCTTTCATAAGTATCGCTATTATTTCAATAAGAGCGTTTTACTATTTCAAAAACAGGAAAATAAGACAATATACTCATCAAAGGTTCTCATTAATCTCATTGGAATGGATCTGGAATGTAAACATACTTCTATACTCAATAAAAATAAAAAAATGAGCTCGATTGGTCGATTCATAGTGTAAATAATCAGTTTTTTTTCTCGTGAGAGAGTTTTGGAGTATTCTGTATATTTTAGTTAATAATATTTCATCATTTCTTCGTCATGATAATAAGTATTAATCATGTGTTTGCGAGAGGGATGGACTATTTCCCTTAAAAAAGAGAAATTGTTCCAATTCAAGGAGAAATTCTTTTCCCATACAAGCCGAAACAATTCGAGGTCCAAACGTTGATCCATATCCCCTCTCATAAGGAGAAATGAAAGAAAGAAAATAGAGATATGGCTAATTTTACTATTCATTATGGGGAGGTGTTTGTGTTATCATTAGTTTATAAGAAGGTGGTAGTTTCGGAAGCGGGATAATAGTTTTGTATCAGGATAAAATGCAAATACTCAGTGGACAGGGAATGGTTACTTTGATCATTCCCATTGTTTGTAATAGAACATATTCTACGAATATTACTTAAGTGATATGGTTTAGTTCATCACTTGAAAATAACACATTTCAGTGAAAGTTGAAAGAATAGAAGAAGAACGCATGAAGATAACGAAAGGAAAATTACCATACGAACATAGATATAAAAGTAAAGGAGAAAATCCCGTATGATTATATACGAAGGGATAGAGAAAAATAGCATATAGATATATATGTAGTGGCGGCGCCAGGGGTGGGCTGGGGTGGGCTCAGCCCACCCTGAAATTATTTGAGCCCACCCTGAAATTTTTTTCAGATCTTAAAAAAACCAATGATACTCTATCTGAGCCCACCCTATTCGAAATTTATTAGGCCTGAGCCCACCCTGTCTGAAATTTATTAGGCTTCAGCCCACCCTACTCAAGAATCCTGGCGCCGCCGCTATATATATGTGAGGGAAAGTAAAAAAATACTATATAATCATATACATGAAAGAATGGGGAACAAATAATTTATATGTTCGCTCACGGAAGATATTCAAGGGGATGTGTTTTTTACCAGTAGAAATGGATGAATAATAATATGAAATGGTTTATCCATATCTCCACTCATAAGGCAAAATGGAACTTGAAAAAAGGATTTCTCTCTAAATGAAAATATAGATATCGTATTGATTTAGATATTGAATTCGTATATATTCAGATTTGTTTGATGTCTGTTTAAAATAAAAAGGATTTCTCTTTGGGGTGTATAAAGGCAGAGTATCGTATAATTCATTGAATAGATGTCGCTTTTGTGTTTTCCATTTCTCCTTAATGTGTTGCTTTTGTTGGGGTAAACCATTTCTCCTTAAAGTGGAACAGTTTCTCGATCGACGTCTCCAATGGTCCACTGCTGAATTTCTTGATCATGATCATAGAATTTTTGTTCAGCTATATTCTATTTTGCGCCTGTTGATGCTTGAAGTATTAAAAAGAACTTTTAGTTATGAACAAGTGATATTTCATCGTGTTGTACAGTTTATTTATATCTGTTTCTAACTAGAAGTTGATTGAATACGAATTTTACGAATTTATCAAAAATATAAGCATATCGATACATATGTACTTATGAATGTTTGTATAGACGAGTAAAATCAATAGAGGTCGACATTAACGGAGTGGTGTATTTTCTCTTCAGCTATGTTCTAACCGAATGAAACAGAAGTTCAATTATCAGAAGTACTACTAAAATTTACAAGATATTACGTAGATAATTACAGTTTTATGCAAGCGGTACATATGATTCTATAAGAACCATATATATTTGTTGTATTTTGTCTTTCTAGACAAGTACAAAATGAAAACTTATCTTTTAAAGAATATTCTTTTTAATGAAAAAAAAATTGATTCAGATGGATAAACATTAATACGGGAAAAAAAATTATAACACTCAATAAATCGGTATTTTTTATATTAATTTACCATCCTGTTCCTTACGGCGAAAAACAAAATATGAAGCAATTCGTCATAAGAGGATATAAAATGAATTTCACAGCAGATGGTACTATTTTACTGTCTTTTTAAATGATTTAAACAAAAATCGTCTTTTTCAAAGTTATATTGAAAATTGATGAAATATTGAATTGTTTGTTTTATAGTAGACGATTATTGCTGAACATAAATAAGTTTGTGTTGAATGAAACAGCTTCACTAAAACATCGAAAAGTTACTCGAATAGGCGAATAATTATTATGTCGATTATGGGATGAATTAGAAAGAAATCAGATTAGTACAGAAAAATTTTAGAAAGTATATAAAATGAAAGACTGATAAAAAATGATAGATTTTAACTTTATTTTTATACTATTTGAAACAATAAAAAGATTCTTGATTAAATTCAATCATGCTTGTAGATTTACAGTGTTTTTTTCAATAAATTAGTTGGTGTAGATATTGTTCTTTGCCTTCAATAGACGTAGATGTATATTGATAGATTTGCAATAAAATGAAGATATTTCTTTAATTTTTTGTTTACCTATTGTTATAGGAATTTGTTGAGACAATGTATATGTCGATCATTTTAATTTACAAAGAAAAATTTTTTGAAGTAAAAGAAAAAAGAAGAAATTCATAATAGTGTATAAAGTTAAATTAAAGATATATTCTTTCTATATTATCAAAATAAAATTTGTTTTGTTCGAATGTATCATAGTTCTATGAATATAATAGTGAGAATGAGTTCTTTTTAGTAACTTTTTATAGAAAGAAGAAATGAATACACTTTAAATCATGTATTACAGATTTTCTTCTAATACTATCGATTTATCAAATATTTTTCTTCAATTTTTTCTAAGTGTTCGAAGAAATGTATCTTTTTTATGTGTAAACAATTTAACAGATATATTTCTTCTTAAAAAGATCAACTGAAACAGTCGACTAGTAATAAGAGTAGCCATTGTAGTGATTTATATTTTATATCTAGACATAACCACCTGTTATTACTCATATGTATGAATAGAATAAATTAGTTTTTTGAAACAAATGTAAGCAATAGTGACTGATACAATTTCGTATAGTTCTATAAAATCTTTGAAGATCTAACGATGAACTATAGTGGAGTTAATAGAAGAAGGTAGTGTTTTTTGTTCGCAGAAGAGTATAATGAGAATGGCACAAGGAGAAACAAAGAAGATAATGTTATTATTGAAGCTGTTTATTAAATTTCTTTAAATCAAACGATATTATATACATAAATAAAAACCAAAGGGAAACAAACATGATTTCCATGCTAGAAATCAAGTAGACATCAACAGAAATCAAAAAGGTGTGGGTGTGGGTGGGATGTGAGTGCCAAGTGAATATAGTAACCACAACTTTGCGCACCCTCACTCACACCTACACCCACACCCACACCCATTCTTGATTTTGACAATATATAAAGTGCATTTGATCTTTGTCGATATAAAAATTGATAATAATTTAATAAAGAATATTCTATTTAAGGTTGTTTTTAATTCATTTCATAACTAAAAAATGATGATCATTACTTAATGAACTTGAAATTCCGAATTAATAAAAATTCTTCCTTGATTTTTTTCTCGTATACATAAATGAAATGGTACATGTTCACAAGTAGTTTTTTCTCCATTATACTGGCATCCGTATGTTGAATTTACTTTATATAATCCAGCACCACCAAAAGCTGAGCGTACTTCAAGTAAACCATATGTAATTGGCATATGTTTTTGGTGAATACCAATAATTAAATCTACAAGTGTACCACCACAATATTTTTTACCAGATTTTCCTAAATCCCATACCCGATGCCAGACATCATAGTTCATAACTGAATCAGATAATGTACGTAATGCCCAAATATCATAATATGAACTGCTTGCTGATGCTGTCATTACTGACCAATCATCTATGTTATATCGAAAATTAGAAAGAAAAGAAGAAACTGTTGTAGAAAATATATCCAAATCGGTAACTACAATATAATCAGCTTTTAAATCATGTGCTTTGTTAAGTAGTTTATTGCGACAAAAAGCAAGACGATCAGTACGTTCTGGATATGATTTCATCATATTACCATATGTATAAACTTGTGCACGAGACCATTCATAAAGTTTTTCAACTGTTTTATCATTTGAATCACTTTCACAAATAAGAATGCGAGATGATGAATGGAAGAGATCAATAATTGGTTCAATATGAGTTCGATATTTTTTAATATTTGATTCAACATTACGAGCACATGATACGACAATTAAACGAAGAGAATGAAGTTGATGAAGAATATTTTGATATGATGAATTTGATATTCGTTGAGGTAAATTTAACTGAGGATATTCACGTTCATAAAAAGATCGATTGTCTGATACTATGGATTCACAACTAGGCGTAGGAGCATTGGATGAGAGACGAGTAGTAACCGTTGAAGACGTAGAAGTTGTTTTATTTTCTATTATCAACAGTGGAATGGTACTTGGAGGTTTGTTAACAGAAAAGAAGACAACAAGAGTAAAACAACTGATAAGTGCGAAAAACAATAGGTATTTTAACTTGAAACATGTAAGGTGACGATATTCAAACATTTTTTATATTTATATATCAAAAATAGATAAAATATTTCAGTAATACCATCAGTTGAATATTTTTTTATAGTACTAAAGAAAATAAAAATAAAAATAAACTAGATTATCATAGAAACTCAACGAAATTACAAAAGAAATGATCAAAAATATCTCATATGAAGTGTAATCATGGAATTATTACAGTTGCAATTAGTTGTTTACAAATAGAATTTTCTTTTTTCTTGAAATTATGATTACAAGCTTTTTCTTTGTTTTTTTCATAGTAACTTATATGCTTAAGTTAGATAAATTTAATGACCACAATGGAGAAAAATCCATTTTTTTTGTATTCTTAGACTCAAACATTTCTCGTCTTTACCGTTCGTACAGATGCCTTGAATTCTACCTATATAGTTCGTAATTGAATAGATAAATTAAAAAAGATTTTTTTTATTCTGTAGCTCAAACGTTTGTGAAAATGTATTAAAGAGTTTTTGTATGTTGTGTTTCTTTTTTTCTCTTGCTGAATAGTTCAGTTTTCATTTTGACTATTTCTAGATTCATTTTCTAACAAGACTAATAAATCAAAAGGTTTAAGAGGGTGTGGATAGTTGTGACTGTGGGTATTCTGTTCGTTTCACACCCACACCTGCTCTCAAGATTTTTAGAATAAAAATATTATGATACATCTAACAAAACTTTTCTTCCTAAAGTTTTATATGAATGATAGCAAAGCAATATCATCAAGCATTTAAGACGATCCTGTTTTATGAATCGTTCATGCAAGTGAAAAGAGTAGGGATTTTAAAAAAACGATTAAAACGAAAACTAATTAAATAAGTATCAGAAATATTGTAAAATATTCTGTTTTTTTAAAATAAACTTTTAGTATTTGATTGTGTTTCGATAAAATCCGGAAACTAATTTGAACTTGCAAAAATAAAAATAGTTTTGAATTTTGGTTTATTATAGAATACTATTTCCTTGATAAAAGTTAATTGTTGAAGGTGTAGGTGTGTTTATGAATAAGGATACTATCCGAGGCTGATATCCAGAGATATACTCTCATTCAAATTCACCTAATCCATCTTGCTGGTTCATGAGTACAGGTGCGGACATGGGTTAACGCATATTGAACACCCACATCTTTAGTTTTATGACTATTTTAAACAATACTAATAATAATCAAGACTATCAAGTCACATGAAATAGGAGGAGAAATAGAATGATTCATCATACTCATTGAACAGCAAACAAAGTAAATGTGACACTGATGTTTGACGCAGGCCGTGTTAGGATATGAGTAGCTATGATTAGCTCCATAAGCAGGTAGTTCGTTACATTCAACGAAAATGAAGATGCATATCCATGTCGTCTTTTTTTTGTAAAAACCGACAGTAAGCGGCGATTTTAGTCAACACTAATGGACGATCTTGCCTCTCGTCTTTCCGGATTCTTCATTTCACTAATAATCAAACAAGATTCTTACCTGAAAAAAAAA